TCTGGAGACGTGCTCGGTATTATGCACACCCCTAGATCTTTCTCCTTGAGTGAGGTTTGCAGTCTTTTGCCACCTAACCTATACTCTGTCTGCGGTTTCCTTTGCCTTTCCCCGATCTTCATGACTTTGCATTTGTGTGGGTTACTGTGGAGGTGGGGTTTGTGGTGAGGGGGATGGGGGCAGAGGGTACAGTGTGTGGGTTACTGTGGGTTACTGTGGGGATGGGGTTTGTGGTGAAAGGGATGGAGGCAGAGGGTACAGTGTGTGGGTTTCAAATTAGGTTGTTTGGTTGCATTGGGGTTGCCATGGTTGGATTCCTTCTGTGGGTGGTTCTGGAGGAGGTTGTGTTTGCTCTTCCACCTGGGTCTGGTTTCTCCTGCTCCCCTCCTTCCTTACCTCCCATTCCTCCTTGCGACGTTGCATCCTCTCTTTTAACATCTTCATTTCTTCTTGTGTTCTGTCTCGGTCGAGATACACACTCTGGTACTCCGGTTTGTCTCTTAGACGTGCTTTCTCCTGCAGGATCCGGTTTCGAGCTGACTCTACCTTGAAGATCACTTTGACTGGATGCTTTTTTTTTTTCTCCATGCCACCCTAATCTCCGAAAATTTGTCAGCTGAGTCATGTCGTCTTCTCTTATTGCTTTCATGATGCTTTCAATCGTTTTTTTTTTTCCACCTGTTTGCTTGCTTCGTAAGTTTCCCCTTCACCTTCCTGGAACCCATAGACAAAAACGTCCCTCTCCCTTTCGTCCTCCCGCTGTACTTCCCTGAGCATCCTCTGAGACGAATTAGTTCCTGCCGTTGAAGCGTTCCTTCCTTCTATCTCTTCCCTATCCGGTGTCCCTGTGCTTAACTGCTCCTGGACACGGCAGTTGTCTGTTAGAGCCTCTGCGTATAGCTTAGCTCCTTCATTGTCTTTGGTCCCCTCATTCGTTCCTGCTGTTCTCCCTGTCTTTTCCCGGGCACCACGTGGGTCTGATAGAGCCATCGCATACGGTATAGCTCCTTTGCTCCCTACAGTCCCCTTTCTGTGACTGATGTAGCAGTTCTTGATGTCGTAGCTATTCTGTCCTCTGGCTCGTTAGGCTGTTTCAGAGTTTTTAGTTCCTCTACTAAGCTCTGTATCTTATCTTCTGCTGCTGTGACTTGTAACTCCCATTTCCTGCTTTGCGCAGCTAATTTCTCGATTTTCTTGCCGAGCTTTTCCAGCTTCCTCCTCCATGTATGTGGTGTGTGTGTGTGTGTGTGTGTGTGTGTTTGAGTCTCTGGGGTGAGTGTATGAGTCTCTGGGGTGATTGTTTGAGTCTCTGGGATGAATGCATAAATATCTGAGTCGAGTGTATGTGTCTCTGGGGTGAGTGTTTGAGTTATGGGGTTATTTCTGCCTTTTAGATCATGGTTTGTGTTGGTAGTTCATGTAACGATTATATGCAGGCTGGTGATTCCCTCGAGGGCACGACAGACGAGATGGTCGTCTCTGATGGATCTAGCATCTTGCAGCAATGACAAGTCTTCCTGGGGTCTAGTTTCTCCTGAGCATGACGACAAGACTAGCTCCAGCGATAGATGTTGCTATTGATTATTCTCTCTTGGGTAGGACGACCGTGCAGTCATTTTTCAATTGGCAGGTATTGTTAGGGATCTGTTCTTTTAGCGTGAGACGACGATACAGTCATTGTTCTAATGACATTTGTTGCAAGGAACCTGTCCCTTCGGTGTGGGACGACGATACACGCAGTTCTAATGATATTTGCTGCAAGGTACCTGTCCCTTCGGTGTGGGACGACGATACACGCAGTTCTAATGACATTTGTTGCAAGGAACCTGTCCCTTCGGTGTGGGACGACGATACACGCAGTTCTAATGATATCTGCTGCAAGGAACCTGTCCCTTCAGCATGGGACCATGATACAGGCATTGCCAAGCAACAGGAGGTTTCTCCATTCTCTAATCTCTGCTAGGACATTGTCGATGCTTTTACAAAAGGTGAATGTAGTTGACAGACGAGCGTGGCAGCCTAGATGACCAAGTAAGCACCAGACAAGCCTTACCCAGGGCCAGGCTGAGGGAGTATGAAAACTCTCCAGACCCGTCAAAGGTATATCAAAGGTATATCAAAGGGTATTTCATGGGTGGATAGCAATATTCTGGTATACCGGGGTAATATTATGTTTATCTAAATATTTTTATAATGTTTTGTGTTTTTCTTTTTCATCTTCTTTTAGTTTTCTTTAGCACTGTATTTCCCTCTCCCTGTCTTCTTTCAATTAATGGCTTCTCACTTACTCCCTTTCGTTGTGTTGTGTTTTTGCGTCCGATGATGAGTTTTTTTTTTTTTGTTCTTGCCTGTTATCACCTTATTTTGTTACTCGTTGTTCTTTCCTGTTGTGCTTGTTATTGCATCATGTCCTGGTTTATCTACTTTATGCATTATTTCCTCCTTTATCAACTTTATCTTTATCTTCTTGTATCTTTCATCGTGGAGTGACTGGCCAGTGTCGCCAATAATCCTGGTAAACAGAGACGTTTCCCTCAACAGATATTCATTTCCACGACTTTTCGCTCATTGTAGAGATATGTGACGATGATAAATGCGACACTTGAGCAGCACTGGATATCTTTATTCAGGAAACGTTTCGCCAGTGTCTCATTTGACGGTTTCTAAACCATTTATTCACAGATATATGACGTCATGACGAAGTTCTACACTGGGCGAAACGTTCTCACAATAAAAACTTTGCATATTCTTTATTAATACTTTTCATAACCAATAGTCTTTATTTTGCCTATTATTCTCTGTGTTCTTTATTCTCTTTAATTATTTTGTTTGCACCGCTAAATAAAATTTTGTGCAATTTATTATTTGTTTACATTGGTATATATTTACATTACTTGTTTGGTTTATTAATTTTATTTTGATTGTGTTTTGACTAAGATAAATTACTTAGCACTTCTCTTTATTAATATTTCCGATGATCACTTGTTCTTGAGAGAGAGAGAGAGAGAGAGAGAGAGAGAGAGAGAGAGAGAGAGAGAGAGAGAGAGAGAGAGAGAGAGAGAGAGAGAGAGAGAGAGAGAGAGAGAGAGAGATGAGAGAGGAAACACTTAGCAATTATTTGCCCAGGTACCTAGTACCTGCCCTAGTTTTACTGATAGTCTTACCTCTCAGTGCCTAGTCTTACCTCTTAGTGCCTAGTTTTACCTCTCAGTACCTAGTCTTATTTCTCAGTACCTAGTCTTACCTGTCAGTACCTAGTCTTGCCTGTCAGTACCTAGTCTTACCTGTTAGTACCTAGTCTTACCTCTCAGTACCTAGTCTTACCTCTCAGTACCTAGTCTTACCTCTCAGTGCCTAGTCTTACCTCTCAGTACCTAGTCTTACCTCTCAGTACCTAGTCTTACCTCTCAGTGCCTAGTCTTACCTCTCAGTACCTAGTCTTACCTCTCAATGCCTAGTCTTACCTCTCAGTGCCTAGTCTTACCTCTCAGTACCTAGTCTTACCTCTCAATGCCTAGTCTTACCTCTCAGTGCCTAGTCTTACCTCTCAGTACCTAGTCTTACCTCTCAATGCCTAGTCTTACCTCTCAATGCCTAGTCTTACCTCTCAGTACCTAGTCTTACCTCTCAGTACCTAGTCTTACCCCTCAGTGCCTAGTCTTACCCCTCAGTTCCTAGTCATACCCCTCAACGCCTAGTCTTACCCCTCAACGCCTAGTCTTATCGGTCTTAACCCTTACAGCAAACCTTCTTGGCATCACTGCCTGGTCTTGGCACTACTGCCTGGTCTTGGCACTTCTGCCTGGTCTGGTTATTCTGCCTTGTTATTATCCGCCTCGGAGCCCTCATTATCTCCCCAGCGCTTTAATTACGTTATTTGCCTAATTACTCCAAACTGTCATTAAACCTTTTAATTGTCTCTCGGTTTATTGGTCAATTATCACTGAAATCACCTAATGACCTTTAGCCACCAGGCATAAAGTTTTAAATGTTATTTTCAGTATTTTTTTTATATGGGAAGCTCTAGAGCCATAGGGGCCATGCAACGGCTTGGGGTGGGGGAGAATGGGAGTTCATCAGGTTTGATCCGAGAAAGGGGAGGGTAGCTCCAGTTACTCGGGGTCAAGAGCCTCTCACCCGCCTCAAGTTATTTATCTTTAATGGGTTGAATTTTGATGAGATTTTTTTTCGTTTGTTATTCGTTAAATCGTGCGTGTTTAACGATCTGGTTGTTCCCACTCTGCCTCGTTGAATGAGCTACTACCCTCTGTTTACTCGTTGACGGTTTAACGTGCCTCGTTGGTTCATTGATATCCGGTGATCGTTAACATCACCGTGCAGGGCAGCAGTGACCAGACTATTGTGTTACCAGTTCTCTCTCTCCTCTGTCTCTCATCCGCCTCCTTCCTCCCTCCCTCCTCCTAGTCCTCCTCCTCCTCCTTCTACTACTATTAATCTTCCTCTTCCTTCTACTCCTCTTCTTCCTCTTTCTTGTCCTCCTCTTTCTTCTCCTCCTCATATTCCTCCCCACTTCCCTCGCCTTTTCTTTTTGCAACCTTCCTTTCTTCTCACTTCTTTTCCCATCTCCCCTCCTAGTCTTCGATTCCACTCCCTCTTCGTCTTTCTTAGATCTTCCCTTCCTCCTCACTTTCTCTTTTCACTATCTGCCTTCCTACTCTTTTTTTCGACTTTCCCTTCTACTCTTTTTTTCCTGTTCTCCTTTTCCTTTCCTTTCAACAGTACAAGTAACTTCTCTTCTTCTTTCCTTGATTTCATTCTCTTCTTCTCAATTCTTCTAACTTCTCCTTCTCTTCTTTCTCTTTCTACCCTCAAAGCAGTACTACCCACCCCTGCCCTCCGCGTCTCCTAGCACAGTGGGCGTATCCTAGCTTACTGTCTGGGCGTCTCCTAGCACACTGTCTGGGCGTCTCCTAGCATACTGTCTGGGCGTCTCCTAGCACACTGTCTGGGCGTCTCCTAGCATACTGTCTCCCTTGCAGTGGCCCGACACCCGAAGAACCTGCAGAAGTCGCTGGCGAAGCAGAACCGCATCAACGACATCAATGAGCGCTACGAGAAACCAACTAACTTCGTGCCTGGCAACCTGCAAGGTAAACACACTCCAGCCAGGGCAACTCCAGGTGATGTAGCAGGTGAATGTGCGGGTGTACCGCAGGTGCAGCGCTGGCTGAATGTCCAGGTGAAGTGCGTGTGATGTGATGGGAGAATGTTAAGGTGAAATGAGGTGAATGTCTAGCTGGACTTCAGGTGAGGTGGTACGTAAATATCGGAAATACACTTTCGGAGTGAATCACGGGAAAATCATAAGTCTACTCACTTTTGAATTGCGGGAAATTACAGATAAATCACAAAATAAAATCACTAGTAAATATTGCCAAAAAAATCAGGTCAAATCACGAGTAACATTAAGTCTTTCAATTATAAGGAAACTGCACTCCAGTCACGGACAAAATCGCCGATAAATTCACGTCTAAAACTCGTCCTTTCGATGAGCGAATTTAAACGAGGCATAAACCCTGAAAAACTGAATTAACATTAGATAGATATACCGTGTGTCAATACCTAAGATCGCAATATATACCGAACTAAATGCACAAAAGACAGACTAATAAACCTGGGCCATTCGCCAGACAGTATGCAGGCGCTGCAACACGCTGAGATGCCACGAATCAGGCATCAAATCTCAGGTAAACTGTAGGTATTATCAGAAGTGAATCGTCATTACAGCCAGGCAAAGTTCGGGGTAAATCATAGCCCGGACCAGATAATCACAGGTAAATCCAGTGATAATACTGTGTGATAACGCTATGTACACGTCAAGCCCGTCCCAGGTGCTCTCATTTATTAACACTTAATAATAATAATAATAATAATAATAATAATAATAATAATATATACACCGAGAGGTGTACTTCTCACAGTGTATATACCTGGAGAGGGTTTCAGGGGTCATCGCTCCCGCAACCCGGTCTGAGACCAAGCCTCGTGCTGAGAGTTAACTTAAATCCATATTTTAGGAGTTAGTATTCTAAACTGGTGGTGAAGAGGTCACGCGTTACCTTAGTGACCATCCAGTAGACCTCAAACTTTTTAAGCAACCAACACACCAACAACAACAACAATAATAATGTTATTAAGAATAATAATAATAATAATCAAAAAAGATTTATTGGCAGTATAAAAAAAGACAAAATAGCAAAAAGCAATTATGTGAAGCGACGATACTGAGATGGAAGTTCTCACTCGTTAGTGTCATGGAGACGGATACACCAGCAGGCAGGGATACACTAGCAGGCAGGGATACACTAGCAGGCAGGGATACACTAGCAGGCAGGGATACACTAGCAGGCAGGGATACACTAGCAGGCAGGGATACACTAGCAGGCAGGGATACACTAGCAGGCAGGGATACACTAGCAGGCAGGGATACACTAGCAGGCAGGGATACGCTAGCAGGCAGGGATACACTAGCAGGCAGGGATACGCTGGGCAGGCAGGGATACACTAGCAGGCGGGTTTACGCTAGCAGGCAGGGATACACTAGCAGGCAGGGATACGTTTAGCAGGCAGGGATACATAGCAGGCAGGGTTTACACTAGCGGGGCAGGGATACACTAGCAGGCAGGGATACACTAGCAGGCAGGGATTACACTAGCAGGCAGGATACGCTAGCAGGCAGGGATACACTAGCAGGCAGGGATACACTAGCAGGCGGGATACGCTAGCAGGCAGGGGATCGCTAGCGGCAGGGATACACTAGCAGGAGGGTACACTAGCAGGCAGGGTTTACACTAGCAGGCAGGGATACACTAGCAGGCAGGGATACACTAGCAGGCAGGGTTTACGCTAGCAGGCAGGGATACGCTAGCAGGAAAGGGATACACTAGCGGCAGGGATTACGCTAGCAGGAGGGATACACTAGCAGGCAGGGATCACTAGAGGCGGGATACACTAGCAGGCAGGGATACGCTAGAGGCAGGGATACCTAGCAGGCAGGGATACACTAGCAGGCAGGGATACACTAGCAGGCAGGGATACACTAGCAGGCAGGGATACGCTAGCAGGCAGGGATACACTAGCAGGCAGGGATACACTAGCAGGCAGGGATACACTAGCAGGCAGGGATACACTAGCAGGCAGGGATACATAGCAGGCAGGGATCACTAGCAGGCAGGGATACATAGCAGGCAGGGATTACACTAGCAGGCAGGGATACACTAGCAGGCAGGGGATACACTAGCGGGCAGGGATACGCTAGCAGGCGGGATAACTAGCAGGCAGGGATACACTAGCAGGCAGGGATACACTAGCAGCAGGGATACACTAGAGGCAGGGATACATAGCAGGCGGGATACACAGCAGGCGGGGGTTTACGCTAGCAGGCAGGGATACACTAGCAGGCAGGGATACACTAGCAGGCAGGGATACACTAGCGGGCCCAGGGATACATTTAGCAGGCAGGGATACACTAGCAGGCAGGGATACCTAGCAGGCAGGGATACACTAGCAGGCGGGATACATGCAGGCAGGGATACACTAGCAGGCAGGGTATACACTAGCAGGCAGGGATACGCTAGCAGGCAGGGATACACTAGCAGGCAGGGATACACTAGCAGGCAGGGATACACTAGCAGGCAGGGATACACTAGCAGGCAGGGATACACTAGCAGGCAGGGATACACTAGCAGGCAGGGATACATAGCAGGCAGGATACATGCAGGCGGGGAAATACATAGCAGGCAGGGATACACTAGCAGGCAGGGATACATTAATAGCCAGGGATACACTAGCAGGCAGGGATACACTAGCAGGCAGGGATACGCTAGCAGGCAGGGATACACTAGAGGCAGGGATACACTAGCAGGCAGGGATACACTAGCAGGCAGGGTACACTAGCAGGCAGGGATACACTAGCAGGCAGGGATACACCAGCAGGCAGGGTTTACACTAGCAGGAGGGATACACTAGCGGGCAGGGATACCTAGCAGGCAGGGTTTACACTAGCAGGCGGGGATACACTAGCAGGCAGGGATACACTAGCAGGCAGGGATACACTAGCAGGCAGGGATACACTAGCGGCAGGGATACACTAGCAGGAGGGATACACTAGAGGCGGGGGATTACACTAGCAGGCAGGGATACATTTAGCAGGCAGGGATACATTAATAGCGGGTACACTAGAGGCAGGGATACACTAGCAGGCAGGGATACGTAGCAGGCAGGGATAACTAGCAGGCAGGATACACTAGCGGCAGGGATACATTAGTACCCAGGGATACACTAGCAGGCGGGATTATACTAGCAGGCAGGGATACACTAGCAGGCAGGGATACACTAGCAGGCAGGGATACACTAGCAGGCAGGGATACACTAGCAGGCAGGGATACACTAGCAGGCAGGGATGCACTGTAGCCAGGGTTTACACTAGCAGGCAGGGTTTATACTAGCAGGCAGGGATACACTAGCAGGCAGGGATATACTAGTAGCCAGGGTTTACACTACAGGCGGGGGATACACTAGCAGGCAGGGATACACTAGCAGGAAAGGGATATACTAGCAGGCAGGGATACCTAGCGGGGCAGGGATACACTAGCAGGCAGGGATACACTAGCAGGCAGGGATACACTAGCAGGCAGGGATACACTAGCAGGCAGGGATACACTAGCAGGCAGGGATACGCTAGCAGGCAGGGATACACTAGCAGGCAGGATACACTTGCAGGCAGGGATACATTAGTAGCCAGGGATACACTAGCAGGCAGGGATATACTAGCAGGCAGGGATACACTAGCAGGCAGGGATACACTAGCAGGCAGGGATACACTAGCAGGCAGGGATACACTAGCAGGCAGGGATACACTAGCAGGCCGGGATACACTAGCAGGCAGGGATGCACTAGTAGCCAGGGATACACTAGCAGGCAGGGATATACTAGCAGGCAGGGATACACTAGCAGGCAGGGATATACTAGTAGCCAGTGATACACTAGCAGGCAGGGATACACTAGCAGGCAGGGATACACTAGCAGGCAAGGATATACTAGCAGGCAGGGATACATTTGCAGGCAGGGATACACTAGCAGGCAGGGATACACTAGCAGGCAGGGATACACTAGCAGGCAGGGATACACTAGCAGGCAGGGATACACTAGCAGGCAGGGATACACTAGCAGGCAGGGATACACCAGTAGCCAGGGATACACTAGCAGGCAGGGATATACTAGCAGGCAGGGTTTAACACTAAGAAAGGCAGAGATTTACTAGTAACCAGGGATACACTAGCAGGCAGGGATACACTAGCAGGCAGGGATACACTAGTAGCCAGGGATACACTAGCAGGCAGGGATACACTAGCAGGCAGGGATACACTAGCAGGCAGGGAAAACACTAGTAGCCGGGATACACTAGCAGGCAGGGATAAATTAGCAGGCAGGGATACACTAGTAGCCAGGGATACACTAGCAGGCAGGGATACACTAGTAGCCAGGGATACACTAGCAGGCAGGGATACACTAGCAGGCAGGGATACACTAGCAGGCAGGGATACACTAGTAGCCAGGGATACACTAGCAGGCAGGGATACATAGCAGGCGGGATACACTAGTACCCGGGGGATACACTAGCAGGCAGGGATACACTAGCAGGCAGGGATACACTAGCAGGCAGGGATACACTAGTAGCCAGGGATACACTAGCAGGCAGGGATACACTAGCAGGCAGGGATACACTAGCAGGCAGGGATACACTAGCAGGCAGGGATACACTAGCAGGCAGGGTACATTTAGCAGGCAGGGATACACTAGTAGCCAGGGATACACTAGCAGACAGGGATACACAAGCAGGCAGGTATACACTAGCAGGCAGGGATACACTAGTAGCCAGGGATACACTAGCAGGCAGGGATACACTAGCAGGCAGGGATACACTAGCAGGCAGGGATACACTAGCAGGCAGGGATATACTGCAGGCAGGGATATACTAGCGGGCCCAGGGATACACTAGCAGGCAGGGATACACTAGCAGGCGGGGAAATAAAACTGCAGGCAGGGATACACTAGCAGGCAGGGATACACTAGCAGGCAGGGATACACT